CGGAGCCCCAGCCGCTGCGCGCCCGCACGCTGACCTGACGCGGCCTCACGGGCTCCCGCGAGCTCAGGCGCCTGAACCCACGACCGTGGTGCCAGCGTGAGACTCAGCCGCCTGATTTCTCCGAGTCAGTCGACTTCGGCAGTAACGGCAAGGCCCCCCCCACCGTGCCAGAGCTGACCAGAGCAGTGTCCGCTGGGCCTGCTCAGCCGCCCCGATCACACCAGCCCCGGGCAGCTCTGACGACCGGGCCGGCCGTCCCCCGCCCCGGCCCAAGTCAGACCGGGGGCTAGACTGTCAAGGAAACGAACATAAAGTCTGCGTTTCAATGGAGCAAGGAGCTGCTCACAGTTTTCTAAAACAGCAAAACCCAAAGCCCCTGAACTACGCACCGCGGCCACTGTGTCGGTCTGCCCGCGACAGAGAGCGCCCAGACTGACCCTTGGCCTAGACCTGGCAGGTGACACCGGCCGAGGCCGGCAGCCCTGGGCGGGCCAGCGGCCGGGACCTCACCAGCGCCCGCCTCTGGGCGGCCCCAGATCACGCCAGTCCGGGTGGGTCGCCCATGCTGAACCCCCGCTGCTCGGAGTGGCTGCTCGGGCCTGAGGGCCTGACGCACAAGGCCCCGACGGGCAGGCGCCTCTGGGAGGAACGCCAGCCGCAGAGGCGCCAGGCCCGCCGTCACAGGCCGCCTCCCTGCAAAGGCGCCCAGCACCGGGCTCTGGGCGGCGGGGCCCTGGGAGAGAAGCGGGGTCTCTGTGCCCGGCCACAGGACCGCCGGTGTCAGTCTTGAGTAAGTTCGGACCGAGGCCTCTGGGCCCCAGCGCGCCGGACGATGGCGGCCAGCTCTCCCCACCGAGACGCCTGCGGGCAACCCCCCAGATGTCCCAGCGCTGGGCCCAGTGGTCAGCGTCTGGACGACGGGGAGGCCCCGTGAGCCCAGTCGGGGACTAGGCCCCCCAAGCTCAGATCTGACTTGACAGGGTTTTCTATTTGGCATTTTAAAGTGAGATTTGCAGAAAAAAACCTCAAATCTTACACGTCACTGCGGCCAGACGGTGTCCCTGCCAGGACGCCCCCGGCGGCTCCTCAGCAGGGGAGTCTGGGC